GAGAGAGAGAGAGAGAGAGAGAGAGAGAGAGAGAGAGAGAAAGAGAGAGAGCATGCCTGAGTGGGAGGCAGAAGGGTGCTCTCGTTATTTTGTTTGCACATCGTGTCTTCCACAAGAGTAAAGCGTCACATAATGTGCTATATTTCTCTATATGAGTGGTGAGTTCTTCTGCTTTTCCTCCTCATCATTCTCCTCACGGCAAAGGACAGAGAAGGGGTGGTTGAATCTACGGAACGGAATATCATGGATCTGATGTTGACGAAGGCTCTGATGGAGAGAAACAGAAGGAAAGGAAAAAGGACCCGATGGGGGAATCATAGTATGAAGCCGGGGAAATCGTGGAAGCTGAGATAAGCGCAGAGTTGAAGAAGGCAGTGCGGAAAGTAGATACAGAACGAAACCCTAAGAAGCATGCTAGATGGCAGGAGGACTTGAAGAATGGCTGATGTAGATACACATAGCAAAGATGAACCCGAGGGCACTAACATTTGGGAAGCCGTGGCAAGAAACCAGCGATCTGACAGGGATGAGCCAGACTGCGTGCATTGTGTCGATGCAGGGCAGTAAACGTGACGGCAGACAATAACTGAAAGGGGTTCTTGCCTCTTGGGTTATAGATCAGGCGACCTGTCAAAACAGATTGAGAGGCATTCCAGCAAGTTACTGTCTTTATGGCCTGTGTTTTTCTGCAGGGAATAGTGACAGGGGGAAGGGCGAAGGGCTCAGAAAAAGTTGTATGGGCAGAACTGATAGTCAACCCTCTCTGGTGGACTGTGAGAGCAATCAGTGCCCCTGGCCGTAATAAGGGGAAGCAAGTATTGGGTATCATTGTGTGTTTTTTATAAGTTTTTAACTTGCTGGTGGAAAAGGAACCGGACTGACCCCCCCCAGAATAGTGTTATGTGCCTGGTTGAAAACGAAATCCAGCATGCCATTCACACGTTCCCATACACATGCGGGACGCAAGTAGACTTGGAGAGAGAAATTCACACCAAACCGGGTGATGATATTGCACAGCAGAAGCACTCAAAACCATTAATAGAATCGAATTTAATTCAATAATTTATTAATTTTAATTCTTATTATCCCGTCTCTCTCTCCAGTTCAATCAACAACACGAATTCCGAGAATCCCAACCACGTTATCAACACCCACGGACCAGTTATATACAAAGTTTCCTCGAAATATCCGGAGTGTCCATCTTCCTCCCTCTTCCTCAAGCTCTGGCTATGGCACCACTTCCACTTCGAGCGCCCAACGAGACAAGCCTGCAAACGCCACGCACCCTCCTGAATCCAACACGTCACTCTGCACCACTCGTGAAGCCCATCTGCAGATTATGTGTCCACTCAGCAGGGGAGCTGCGCTCCCCAAGATGACAAAGAAGAGCACCAACTCGATGAAGACGAAGGCCTGCCACTTCGAAGAAGACATGCAAAAGCTGCTTCGTTGGCAGCTGCCTTAACCCCAACAAGCACACGAATATGAGGAAGCCCTCATCAGCACTTGGGTGCCGAGCCCAGTGCTGTCACCGATGGAGCTGGCTGGCCCCAGCTATGGCCACCAGCAGCATGTGGAGCAGATGCCCTGTGGACATGCCCACAATAACGCTGCAGGGAAGCAACGCGACCTCCACCAGGACCCGTAAAAAAAAAGGCAACATAAAGAACCCCAAACTCGTCGGCCTCTGCCTACTTCTACCCGGCTTCCCTAGACCTACAACACAGCAGCCACCTACAGACCTATCTGACCGTCCAAACAGCAAACATCTACGGCCAAACAGTCAAGATCTACCTACATGCATCTAGATGGAAACCTAGACTAAGGGGACCCAAGGCTATGACACACAAAAGAAAGACCTACCGGCCTACCAGTTTCCAGAAGGGCAGAACAGGACAAAACAACAAGGCTGAAAGGTCTAAGACTACGAAGTAGAGACTACTAGCGACAGGTTCAAGGTTCAAGGCTTCAAGCTCAATAAAGCTAACCACAAACACACTACAGGTCATGCAGAAAACGACAAAACAGCAAAGCCTAAGGGTCTAAGACTGCCAAATAGAGACTACTAGCTACAGGTCTAAGGATCAAGGCCAGTAGGGCCCGAAGCTAACAAACCAAACGTACAAATTACAGGTCACGGGATCAAGTCCCGCAAGGCCCAAACCAAGGAAACAGCAAACACAGTTAGTGTACAGTCCCACTGGGATACTGCGATTTATTGCAATAGAATGGAGCCAGGACCATAAGGCCCAAGAGAATGGGCTTGGAAACTCAGAAGTTGACCCGGTAGAATGGGCTTGGAAACTTAAAAAGGGACCTATCACGGTTGAAATTAGGCACAACATGGTAGAATTTACTAGGAAGATTGGATATAGTATCAGAATCAGATCCCACTCCTGTCGAAACAATAAGAGGTCAATTGTGGCAGGAACACCTATCCCTTCCCAGCCCCTCAGTAGGATTATCATTCTGAGCATCAGACCGGCTAGGATTCACAGCTTTAACAATGCGTGTCGGCCAGTTATGGCGCACATCGTGCACCCCTGGACTGCACGTGCAGCACACCCCTGAAAATAGGGCTTTGTATGGGGGCGGGCGGGCGGGGGGGGGCGGGGGGGAGGAGGGGGGGTGTTGTCATCACAACCTGCTTCTCCCCCCAAAAACATTGTGCACACCAACAAAAGAAAAGGGGGTCTTGGTCAACACCAGCCTCCAAAAATGTGTGTGTGTGTGTGTGTGTGTGTGTGTGTGTGTGTGTGTGACCATTCCACTGTCCCTCCATTAGGAAGGCTGGATGGACTAGTGTCCGGGGGCACTAGGCCAGTCAGCTTTGTGCCCCACGGATTCCACACACACACATACAACCAAACACGTACACACATTGGAAGATAGAGAGAGGGAGGAAGAGACTCAAGAAGAAAGGACGCATAGTCGTACTTGGTCAAAGCCATCCACCAAAAAGTTTTACAATAGGAAGAATCGTTTGTCGTAGCATGCAAAAGCGATACATAGAAAGCAAACACTCCTATTCGAAAGGTCGGCCGAACAACCAGGGTTTTCAGCCCTGGGAAGTACTCCGCCCAGAGTACACCTCCGGATGTGTGTGTGTGTGTGTGTGTGTGTGTGTGTGTGTGTGTGTGTGTGTGTGTGTGTGTAAAAGCGTGAACGCTTCTCTTCAGTACAAGCAGTACTTCGAACGACCACCCCCCAGGAAACGACCATGCACACTAACTTGAACACGATTCTCACGTACGTCCCCACCACATGGAAACTTACTGGACTTATGACACTGGCAACAAACAGTAAGACACGAGGCACAGCTAGGCTGGACGGCACGGGGAAGGAGGGAGGGCAGACAAAAAAACATGGCAGCGAACCCAAGAAGAAGACAACACAAGACAACCAACGAGACATAGGGCAACAGGCAAGAACAAAGGACAAAGGCTGGAAGACGTAGGGAAGGTGGGAGGGCAGTTGACACTCATGCATACAAAGCAGACAAACCAGAAAAGGAGTATGAGTCCCAAGAAACAACAAAAACCATAAAAAATAAAACTGATGGTGATAGATTGTTTCGTCGGAGTTGCACCGACTCATCAGGAGGCTGAACCCTCGACAATCTGCAGAATGCCTGTATTGATGATTTGGGTCATCCACCTTTTGACCCTTGCACCAGGCAACGCGACCGAAGCCACTCAACTGCACAATGTGAAAGACTACTGCATGGATGACACAGCATGTGGACAAGCAGCTTAGCAACCGCACAGTGAAGCACAAGGCAACACCAACAAGGCAGCCACACTACACGGCACATGATCCAGGAACGTGGAAGGCACGGCAGTGAGCAACAACTCTGCGAAGCACCAGGCAACGCACCCAAAGCCACTCAACTGCACTACATGAAAGACTACTACATGGACGACACAACACGCGCACGAGCAGCACAGCAACCGTGCAGTGGAGCACAAGGCAACACCAACACAAGAGCCCCACTACAGGGCACACAGGCATGGAACACGGAAGGCATGGCACAACGTTGGGCAGCAAGGCAACAGCGCAGCAGAGCACAGGGCAACACTAACACCTTAGCCACACCACACAGCGAACAGAACGGCAAGAGCGGCATGCGACGCAAGCGGGACGGGCAGCAAGGCAGTGGCGGAGTGCAGACAAGGCTGCCTACACATCCAACACGGAGTAAAGCAGCACATCACCCACTCACATCACGGGCAACCCCCACAGACTGTTGGTTCCCACCACCCGCTGAGCCAGGGAATCACTGAGACAAGAATCCATCATCACCCACAGCCAACAAAGACATCCCGAACTGAGCAGTCCCCCTAAGAGTGCTACAGGCACTCCAAACAAGGACCGCCCAACTGTTTGGCACTACTTAAAGGTGCTCAGTTGGTGTTACATGCCGCGCCTGCACACGGGCCCCACTTGAGGGGCCCGACGGTTGCTAAAGGGCCCCCAGGCCGCACGCCATCCAGCACGCACCCCGGAGGCCCACGGCGGTCCTTTTGGCCGCAGGTACTGGCAGTTGTCCGTTCAGAAGTCGTTTCGGACTGCAGGTCCAGACGTCGTTTGAGACTGCAGGTCCCAAGGCGATGCCTTGGGCCAGGTACACAGGGACGAGGCCACTTTCAGGCCAGGCGCGTTTTGGCGCCTCACTGCATCAGTGACGCGGTCTGGATACCCGGTAGGGGCCCAGACCAAGTAGGCCATTTGAGGCCAGTACCTGAGGTGCGCCCAGCAGGCCCAGCGCTACTTATAGCTGGGCTGAGGCTGGGTACAGGACAGTTTGAGTAGCTCACTTCTGGAGCGACACGCTGCTGGCTGAGCGCCGCGCTGTTTTAGCGCTGCGCTGTGGAGTTGGAGGCTGAACACCGGAAGGCAGCGGGGCGGAGGCCATACCTGCGTGAAGGGACTTACCTGGTGCCATAGCTGGGACTCCCTGTGCCCCAGCAACCTGCACACGACGACAACAAGACGGCGGTCAGCTCGGCGGTGGCACATGCAGGTGAGACAGCGAGGAAGGCGACATCTTCTTCTTCTTCACCGGTCTCCCTTTTGTCTACCTCCTTCCTCCTTCTTTCTCCTCCTTCCTTCCTTCTTCTTCTTTTTTTTTTCATCAGACGAGAGAGAGAGAGAGAGAGAGAGAGAGAGAGAGAGAGAGAGAGAGAGAGAGAGAGAGAGAGAGAGAGAGAGAGAGAGAGAGAGAGATTA